AGGAAACAAAACTTCAAGAACACGGCCACACAGCCCGGAAGACCCACACCAGCCATCAGTTCTGTGGATACCTCATCAGCTGCAGAAACATGGAGGAGATGAGAGGAATCTCTTTCTGTGTCATGGTTTCAAAAATGCATTGCCTCTCCAGAATGACTATTTGATTTCCAAGGGAAACTTCTATTGCAGAAGAACATATTTTTTTCCCATGCCAAGACCTCATTATGTTCTTTTTGTGGGGCATACCATTTGTTAAGCATACCACACAAAGAACATCATCTCTAAAAAGTAGCTCTACCCAGGAGAAAAATGAAAGGTAATTCAACTTAAATTGAATTAGTTAAGCATTGTACTAAGAGGCTTGGATCTTGCTACCTTCTGCCCATCCTACACAATCTTAAGGGGAAAAGATGCTATTGACACCTGCCTCTAGAGAGATCAGAAGAGTGAGAAGTCAGAAAATGGCATTTTCTATGATAGCCACATTACAACGGAACAGCTGACTGTCTGAGATGAGAATAGTCCCCAGTCTTTTATTGAATAGGAAGCAATTGAGGGCTTTTAAGCAAGTCTTGGAAGATAACGGAAGATTTTTTTATAAAAAAACTTTTAAAGAGATTTTAAGATACAGATCTTATGGATGCTTTTAATATACCATTGTAAGTCAATATTGAATAGACAGCCTACGCATTACGGCAAAGAAATAAATGTTACCTTCGGTCAGGTTAAAAGCTGGAGGGGTTTTGGAAGCCACATTCAAGACTTTCACCTGGCTGTCCCAAACTGTGCAAAGTGGAGGTCAACAAAGTCATGATGGCAGTTTGGACTGCATGGTAAAATTCCCAGCCCTTTTTTATATGTGTGCAACACCAATATGTGGACACATATAAAGGCGGGGAGGGGTTGTCTTGCTGTCATGACAGACATCTTGACTTTTTTACCCTTTCCAGACATCATTACACACAATCCTGATTTATTGATTTATAGTTTCCTTTGAAATGCACATAGCAGCTTTAGAGAGGAGAAACAGGTCAGAATCATAGGACAGGTAAAATTCAATTTTCCTTGTCATCATTCCTCCACATTGCAAGGTCTTCCAGCCTCCATGTTACTGACATTCACAATTTGTTGACAGTGGATGTTAAATCCCATTTACTGTGTTGCGTAAACTTGAGGTGGTATGTTGGCATCATGAAGTTTGCAGCTCAGAAATTTGCCTTGTTAGCAAAGCCTGTGATTCAGTTCCTTTTCAAAAATACCAACATATCGACATGATTCCTTGTGGATTTTAGTAGTTAAATTCCCTTGATCTATGTTAAGAGGAAGATATATTTCATGCAAATATTTTCCATTCTGCTCTTTTAGGGTGAAAAAGGACCCCAAGGTTTACCTGGTTTAATGGGTGAGAGAGGAGAAAAGGTATCTATCTATCTATCTATCTATCTATCTATCTATCTATCTATCTATCTATCTATCTATCTGTCTGTCTGTCTGTCTGTCTGTCTGTCTGTCTATCTATCTATCTATCTATCTGGATAAATATTGTTAGTATTTCCCATGGACATAAAAAAGAACACAGTGATTATAATAGTTGGGACTTTATAATGTGACTTTTTCTGCTGTATTTTTCGTTAGCTAGCGTACTTCAGTCAAATGCAAAAATGTGAACATCAGTGCAAATTGTGAAACATCAGGTATGACATTATAGAAAATTCAGTAGAAAATGAAAACAGAAATCATAATCTTGATGGTCAACTGCTTGAATAATAATGACATCTTCAATAAATTTTCAGCTCTAAATAGGGTATTTGGATATTCTAAGGCTTAAATATAAAATCTTCCATTTCCCACATCATTAATTTTTCTAATCTGATTTAACACCTGCCCATTGAAGCATTTTGGTACAAGATAGCTTAGAAGGAAAAGAGAAAGAAGGAAAAGAGAAAGAAAGGATCAAGTGCTATGGAACCAGTTCTAAGAAACTGGTATTTATAGAAGAGAAAATATGTAGCTCAGGGTTGAACTGTGGAGTCCTTGGTGCTCTCTGAGCTTGGTGATTTTCTTGCAACTGTTTCATTAACCAGCTAGGTGACATCTTCAGTGCTAGAATGGAATTGGGTTTGCTCTAAGAGATGTTATCTAGCCAGGTAACAAAACGTTTGCAAGAAAACCACCAAGCTCAGAGTACCCCTAGGACTCCACAAACTGGTATTTGGGTGCTAAAACATTTCTTGAATTGCATCATTACAGAACTCAGAATTTTCCTGGTTTTTAAGCATCTCAGAGACATTATAACACAACTGTCTTCTTAATACGTTATTCCTCCTAGTCTGGGGATATGTGGAGAAGAGAAAAGGGAAGAAGATTGAAAGAATTCGATGGCATTGTTAAGGATCCAGCGACATGAGCAATAGTTTATCTTGACCTGCTCATGGTTGAGATATAAAGCGAAGTGGGCTTTTCCCAGTTTGTCATACATAACAGCTCTCTGGCATCTGCCTGAACCTAGGAATACTTCCAAGCACCATTCTCACAGAACCTCTTTAATCAGTTTTATTAAGACAAAAAAGGGAGGGGATTACAGGAATTCTGGCAACTGAACTCTTTCCAGTCTACAACCAATATATGCCAAAGTACATTTAGTAGAAAAAAAAATCTGTAGCTCAGGGTTGAACTGGGTTCTTGATGCTCCCTGAGCTTGGTCCTTTGCAGATGTTTCATTACCCAGCTAGGCAACATCATCAGAATGAATGACTGTGGGGTTTACTGCCTGTGTATATATAGTAGCTTGCCCTGTCAGTTTTGATGGGGCTATGGAAAGGAGGAAGAAGGAGGAAACCACACCACCACCAAAACTGGCAGGGCAAACTACCTAGTAGGGTAATGAAATGTCTCCAAGCAAACAGTCAAGCTCAGAGAGCACCAAGAACTCCAAAGTACATTCAGGTGGAGTTGTCCCCATTTTTTAAAACTGTACATTCATGTACTGGTAGATCTCTTCACTAATAAGGAAAGAGATTGTGATTGTTCATCTGATGAACCCTTTTTAGTCTGGGAACTGACATTACAGTACATTATTCCAACACCATTTATCAGGTAATTAATTCACTGCTTAATCCCTGTATTTTGGAACTGGGTGATGCACCACTTTTGAGATCACACATTAATGTAGCCCAGAGTGAGAGTGATCAGATTTGCCTTCTTTATTATTCATATCCTTCTGCTTTCAGCCAATGCTCTTTTAATTATATTATGATTTCCCATTAATTTTGATGTGGCAATCTCTATTCTTTAAGGGTTCCCTTGGTGCACCTGGCACCCCAGGAAGGGATGGTGCCAAAGGAGAAACTGTAAGCTTTTTTCTTCTTTCTTTGTAATCCTCTTTTTCTCGTAGCGTAAGTCGAGATCAATCTTCACTGAATGGAGCATGTCTGGGGGATTAATATTGCTATTCCAAATGTAAGAAAATAAATAAGACCAGCTTATTAACCTCAACAATCCTATCTTTGGGCCAAGGGAGCAAAGAGACTTCATATAGATTATCTGTTCTTGGAAGCTTTGAGGAGGAATATCAGTTGCCATTCATTAAAATGCTGTGCTGTGACTAGAGATTTCACAGAAGCAGTTGAGCAAATCAGATCAACAAAACACAGCTATTTATTTCCCTCCAAACAAAAGTTTGCCAGCTGAAATTTGATGGGTGGAAACACAGGAACTCTGGTGGGATCTGAAAACCATCATTATCTACTTCAGTGTCTACAAGGGTGAAGGCAATCTTCTTCAGCAATGGTACAAAATTAAGAGAGTGCCAAAAAGATTTGAGGTGAAGCCTCTTTTGCTGGAATGTAGACTTCTGCATTTCCAAGATGTGACCTGGGAAAAAATACTTTCAGTCTTGCAGGATTGATCAGCCTTGTGAGGCAGTCCAGACAAGAAGCACACCCAGATGAATTAATCGTACTTTATTGTAATATTACATTAACAGAATCTTGCGAGACTGAAAGTATTTCTCCCCTCCTATGTTTTTAGTCTCCAAAAAAACTAGGGAAGGTCCCTCCTGAAATGCTTCCTGTGCTTTTTTCCCACCTGCAGACTGAGCTGTCCCTTATCAGACCATTGCTAAGGCTGCAGGTCTTCCTCCTGTCTCCCAAGGTCATTCCCACATACCCTTGCACTCATATGCCATTCAACTGTATGTCTTCATCACACATCTACTCTGCTTTTTCTTAAGATATGACCTTTCCCCCAGGTAATGAATGGAGCCAGTCTCTATCAGCAGAAAAGAATGGTATTTAGCTAGCTGGGCTAGCTAACTATCAATGGATACAATTTCGCTTTTTGGGGGCACAACTGTTCTTTCCACAATTGTGAAAGTTTCCATGGACTTGAATCTGTCCAGGGTCTCCACACTTAGTCCAACACCTTAGCACTCTATCACATTGGCTCTTACAGATGTTGTTACAACTTTGGTTTCTTTTTTGGAGGGAGGCAAAGGCGATAAATTTCAAAATCCAGCAAATTAATAATAAAAGATATTAAGAAGGATTGATTTTAAAGTGCATACCTTGAAATCATGTTTTAGCACTGACATTTTTGATTAAACCCTACCTTAAAATTTGTATAACAGTGAGAAAGTAATCATTAGATCTCTATCTAGACCTCTAGTTAAAAAAAAAAAAATCTTTGAAATAGTTCTGGCATGAAAGATGGTTACAGATTAAGCCACCTTTTTCTTGAAAAATGTTCATCCTTGCCTGATATGAAGATATCGTTTTTTTCTAGACATAACTAAATGGCAGGGTAAATGCAGAAGATCTGATCTTCTTCCTCTTGAATCTTCAGCAAAACTAGGGAAGATCTTTCCACCAGAATCCTTGGAGTAATTGTATGAAAAACCTTCCATTTCTCTCAAAATAAGGCATCTCTTTTGGTTTCATACATCAAGTAGCTTATGATTTTTCAGTATACCCTGGTTTATAAGGTGTCCATGGAAAGTCTTTGCAATAAATATTATTTTGCCTTCTTTTTTAGGGAGAACCTGGTCTTCCTGGACCATCTGGTCTTCCTGGACCATCTGGCCCAAAGGTGAGCATATATGAATATTAAGCAACATAATGAATGAGATTCACAGGACCTTCAGGAAAGATTTATCTATTTGGGAGTTATACTGAAGGTGATTTTCAACTTAAATATGTCCATCAAAAAGGGTCAGATGGACCCAATTCCTGGTCAGGACAAACACCTAACTCACATTCTTAAGTAACAGTTTGTCTAAAATCTGGTTCACTGGAAAATGTTATGACTTTTATTATATATTAAATGTAAAGAAAATGTATAAAGGCCTTTTGATAGTGCCTTTCCCCCATTAACTACTACTATTATTGCTCAAAATAGCTGCAAAGTAATATTTACTTATTTCCACTCTAATAAAATAGTATTCACATAATTCTGTAAAGTTGTCAGCATATTTGTTTTCCCTTGCTCCCTTACTTCCTTAGTCAGCTTTTACACTAATGTGATGGCTCATTTATTATTGTGCCAATACTTTACAACACTGAGAATGTTATATTAGATTTCTAAAATATGGTAATAGCTTGCCTGGCCGAAAACTTATTTGTGTCACCAAAGATTAAAAGTGTAAAATAGTTTTGATCTGCAATCTCCTTTCTATTTAAGTTTCTGCATATAATATTTTACAGTCTCAGCAAACTATCCACCAACATTTGTATTAATGTCTTTCCAACCTAAAGAAGTAAATACAAACTCTATACTGTTTTTCTCAAGTTTTGTCTCAGGGAGTTGCAGACCACTTATCAGGACCTCCAGACCAAACCACACTTTCAGTTTGTCCTCTAGTGTGGAAAATATAAGACATGGAAATTGATTTATCTTAAAGGGCAGCTAATTTGGAAATTCTTAGGGAAAAAAGAACAACAACAACTGGGCAATAGACTAGTTTTGGAGTCCTGGAACATGAGCAGTTTTTGAAGTTGCCCTTTCCCTCCTACATATCTTAACTTCCTAGGATTTACTAAGTTTATTGCTTCCACATTCCTTCCTTCCACATAAATGGCCACATAAACCATCCTTCCTGGACAATATGTATAAGGGAGAAGTCCTGGTGATCTCATGGATACATCCATGTAGTAGAAGTTGGCTATTGTCAACTATATTACAATTGTTTTCTCCCAGGATGTCTTTCTGAGACATCCCTCTGGGGTTGGGCAGCTAATAGATTTGAATGAATGAATGAATGAATGAATGAATGAATGAATGAATGAACGAATGAATGAATGAATGCAGACATACATACTTTTTTTTTTACTTCCTAGTCTAGCCCTCAGCCCTGAGATTATCTGAAACTTCTGAGATCAGTGAAGATCAACTAGGTGCTTTCACTTAGTTGGGCCAAACACATACACTCACTCTCAAATTTGTTGTTGGCTTAGTCCAGTGATGGGATAAACTAAAGAAGCTGATGTGTCCTTTCTCATCTGGTTGCCACATATGGACAAAACCATGACTTTTCATATTTATGTCAGTTTATCCAGAATTGCTTGGTCCCAACCACAAATATGCTGGTGGTTGGAAACACATAAATAGCCACCTGGCTTTAACACTCAAGTAGTTTGATTTTCAGGAAGGATAACAAGATGTTTACAATATTGTAGAATTACCTTTTAAAGAGGATTGATTATTATGATAAAGGTCAGAAAAGCTGCACATCTGTTCATGTAAATAACCTACCATAGATTTTCATTATGTTCTCAAACCTTGTTTTTCTTTAATTTTTGCTCAGGGAGAAGAAGGGCGTCCTGGTTCACCAGGTCGTCAAGGTTATGTTGGTGCACCTGTAAGTCAGAATTTTGTTGTTATTGTTGTTGCTAATTTAATATCCTAAATGAATACAGTATAATTTGTAAAATTCAGTTGTATGGCAAACAGATACTTAATTCTCAAGCTGAACTAGAGCATCATATATTATACACAGGTATTTGGGGAATTATCAAGTTAAGGAAGTTAGAACAGCTTCACTGAATGTTCAAAGGTAGAGCTGTGCAGCACTTCAGATTCAGTTCCCGAGATATGTTTTCTGATAATCCAGCCCTGGAGAAGGTGAAGAGTTGAGAAGAAGCTCCTTTAATACCCCATGAAGTTTGGACTCAAATCTGAAATGCAGAACAGACTTACTCAGAAGTCTTTTTAGTTTCACATTGTGTATCATGTATCTGAGAAGGTCAACCATGGACATAACAGTTCCCTGGGAATTTGTATTTGAACCATACTACCTTTCCAGATATGTTGTGTAACAGTGTTTGTTGCTTAATGAGAAAACATATGTATTTTTTTCATCTGTGCAACCTGTAATTTTGCTGTAACTTAATTATTCAAATTCCCAGTTAGATAAATAATTGCTCAAGAATAAAACAACTCCATACTAATTAGCCCTTTTAGTCTCAGTTTGTCTTTTGTAGGTTGTAAATATACCCCATTGATTTGATATTAGTTTTCACAAAATATTGAGGAATAATTTAGATTGTTCTTTGCAGTAACTGCCTCCAAGGAATTTATGCACCTAAACCTATCCATCCGGTGAGCTGCTGTACATGGTTAAGCTCATGGAGATGGTCAAATCTGAAAACACAGAGATACTGGACAACACCAACAGCCACTGTACCAGGCTATATCAGGAAGCCATTGAAATTCACAAACACCAGCACAGTTTCAATAAAAAAGAAGAAAGTTTAAAAATCAACAAAACCTGGCTATCCATCCTGAAAAATACAGCCTGCAAAAGGTCAATGAACTCAGCTCAACCACCAGGATGCGTGAACAATTCA